GGCCACATAAATTAATGCCAGTGGGTGGGCTGGAGGTATTGGGAAGTGCCGTCCATGAATATCAAATTCAAGTTTTTGGCTTTCAAGAGGGCACATGGCTATGGAGAGGGGGCATGGCAGTTAAAGAGGGGACACTGCTTTTAGGATATGGTCACTGCTGTCCAATGGTGGGACATCATGGCAGTGTTATCACAGAAGGCATTGGTATGAGGAGGGGCAGTGGTGGCATTCCTGAGGGGTTGGCTGTCAGGATTGGGGCATGGCTATCTGTGTAGATGTATGTCGATGTGAGTTGCGGGGAGCTATATGGCAGCAGCTCGTGGCTGCACTTCGAATCTAGCGACCCGAGTTCAATTCCTGCTCATGGCTGAGACCAGCGACGATTATTTGAACCAGTCCTGGGCCTCCCCTAGGTCCACTCAGCCTCATATGGGTGCCTGGAGCAATGTGTAAGCATCGTCACGCGGGAGACAAAGGCGGCCGGGCGTGGTGCTGACCACCCACCCGCTCGTGTGCCATACCAGCCTTCATAAGTGCTCGTTGTCGAAACGTCCCCCAACAGTGCGTGAAAACGCCTAGAGAGGGGATCTTTTTATTTGCCTTTGTCTCTGTGAGTAGTGGCACGGATGCCAATGGGAGCATTGCTATCAGATGGGTGTCAAAAATGAGGCATTGCCCTTCGAGTTACGATATGGCGTTTTAGTTAGATTAGCCGGTCACAGTGGGCCCAACTTTGCTCAGGTTCACAGATCGTGTATCAGTTTGACTCCGCACACAACTCAGGCCTCCTTTAAAACACAAACGTCCCGATAACAGTGAACTCGCAGACTGAAAGCAACTCGGCGCCCCATCATCATTATCATTGTCGTTGTTGTTGAGTTCTTTGTAGAATATTTCGACTGATACGAAGTTAGTCGTTCCATCATCTGCATGGAGTGGGGGGAAAAAATGAGTTGCGCTTTGTAGGATGTTGATCGTGGGTGCTCTGTCGAGAGACTTGGCCTTGCAGGAGCAAGGGAAATGAAGGTTGGTCCACCACTGGCTCAGGTTGACCCGTTTGAGATAAGCGCTCGCCCAACGCTCATTTGAGCCAGGAGACACTGTGACTTGTTTGACACATACGCCATACACAAGTACGTACGTTGAACTTCTTTCGCACCGTACGAAGCCAACCGTGCTTAATCGGAAGTGCGGGAACACAATGGCGAATGTCTCCCCGCATTTGTCAACAACCCTGAGCCAGTGGTGGGATATTCCACGTTCCCATGACGGGCGCCATTCACTCCATAGGAAGACCGCCGTGGAATATTGAACATCGACCACGTGCACTGAGAACGCGAGTGACTGGAGAACTTCGCAGCGTATTTGTATCTCCGCGACTGCAACATCCGGAATTCATGAATTCTCAGCGGTTTCTCTGCTCGTTGTTTTGTTATTTGCTGCAAAACCTTAGGAGCCACTCATTTGACTCATTCAGGCAACTGGGCAGCACAATAAACATTCGCACACACACACACACATAAGAAATATATATTCTATCCAAGCGGTGTGTGTGTGTGCTTGAATTTAATTTCCTTTAACCTTCAGCATCACAAGTGGGTTACGTGACATTTTCACGCAAACGGGCTGCTAAACGGATGTTACTTTCCCTAAAGCTCAGATTAGCTGCCCTGGTTGTGATGGGTTATCAGTGTGACGCCTATTTCCCTGTGAGAGGTGGCTCATGATGACAGATTGAGCCCCGCGTTCTGGCTGCGTTCACATGCAGCCTCCCGCGCTGCTTGCGATGTCATTCTGCCCACGCTCGGTTGGCTGTATCCAAGATATACAAACATACAGTGTGTGTGTGCTTGTGTGTGCGTGTGTGCGCCTGTGTTTCTACACCTGTGCGTGTTCGGATCGAGCGGTAGCGGTCGTGGTCAGCGCAATGCGGCGCGGAACCGATGGCCCGCGTTCGATTATCCGCCACGGCTAACATCAGTGGTGAATTTCTGAACCAGTCCGGGGCCTCCCCTAGGTCGACTCAACCTCAAATGAGTAACTGGTGCGACGTGTAAACATCGCCACTGGGGGAGACAAAGGCGGTCGGGCGTGGTGCTGGCCACCCACCCCCTCGTTCGCCGTGCCGGCCTTCACAGGTGCTGTCTTGATTTGAAGCTTTCGTGACTGCAGGAATCCATACTCTTTGGTTCTTTCGGTAAAGTCACGTGGGTAGAAAAATAATAATAATAATAGATCACGACGTTCCGATCGCCACACAAGCGGTCGTCCTCAGGTGGGAAAGAGGTGCTACTCGCTACTGTCAAGGCCACACGGGTGGTCTTTGTCTTTGTAGAGATCGGTGATGTCGTGGTTATCGCGCAACATTGGCCACAACACTCAGCCTCGTGTGCCGTGCCGGCCCAATAACTGCTCGCTCACCGCACCTGACCCAGCAATCGAGAGGCCTCAATGGGGGATCTTTGTCATTGTCTATATATTTTTTGTGTGCCGTGTCTTTGTGTGTATATCTCCGTATTTTTTTTGGGGGGGGGGGGGGTATCCGTATCTCATTGTTCCTCTGTGTACGTGTGCATGTGTATGGATCTGTGTGCGTGTGACTGCCAGTTTCCCTCGCTATGTAAGTCCCCTGAATGGACTAACGCGTGCGTCAGAATGTGCGTGGGGGGCATGAGGGGGGGGGAGGTTTTGAGGGCAACTGGACTATTTACAGAGAACGTCGAACGTGAGATGCCACGAGCAATCTTCTCGTTCTGTACATTCACACGGGGAGGAGCGACGCGCCTTTAAGGGTGGCGTTCACAGTCACAGTCACGCTGCCGGATTTGATTTTCGCGAAGATAACAACCCTTCGCCATGATTTCCAATTAAACGTATATCTTGGGATCACGATGCTTTTTTTCTACATCGACGTATTCTTTTTTTATACATATACAACATTTTAACACGTAAATAACTGGTTAACACGTCGGCTTTCGCGACCAATAAACCTCTATTATGAACGTAAAAAACTGCCGCCTTCTTCACCATTGTCCATTACACGACCCTCTCATCACCATTGTCTGAAAGATGCCCCACTCATCACCATTGTCTGATACAAATAACAAAGATCCCCCGTGTAGCCTGTAACAGACTGTTGGGGCAAGTGCTCTTAGCGAGAAGCACCTATGAAGGCCGGCACAGCACACGAGGGGGTGGGTGGCCAACACCGCGCCCGGCCGCTTTTGTCTTCCCTCGTGGCGATGTTTACACATCGCCCCAGGTACTCATTTGGGGCTGAGTCGACATGTCTGATACCTGCCCCCATCCACCGCCATCCATCACCATTGTCGAACACGTGCCCCAGCAATCATCATTTGCTGCTAAGTCCACATCGTCGCATTGTACTGTCGAGTGATGTAAACATTCGATCGCCGGCACGTGGCGCCTGCGTGTGTGAAATAGAAACACGCCGCCACCTTTCTTTATGCCGTGCTCCTCCTACTCCTCCTCTTCTCGGCAGCCTCTTCTTTAGCTCATCGGCCAAAAAACACAAAGCAACTTCCACATTCCGTTGGTTGGAAAAAAATAGGAAACATATATATATAAAGCAGGGGAATTAATGAGGCACTCGTAACGACATCGAACATTGAATGCATGCGCAAAGTAGCACACACCTGCCAGAAGGGACTTTGTGTTTTCTGTGCTCTGAGCCTTGCTTAATGGACTCAAAGTGTATCCAGCATCAATCTTTAAGCGTTACGGTTTGGGCTTTTCTTTTGTGCATTATAATAATGGATCCGATGTTGGAGACGTGGGGGGGAGGGGGGTGATTTTTTTCATCCCTTGGGTGTTCTGACCTACTTTGTTAAACCGTAGCTGAGTGCTCTCAGTGGGTCTGTGTGTATGTATCTCTGTCTCTACTTTCTTCACTGATCTATTAGTTTCTATAGAGCTCAAGTGCAGGAAAAGTACACAGAGTGAATAGAACAAAATAAAACTATTACTACTCAACTCTTTTTTTTTCTCTGCCAGGTAAGGTCCACTGAGCGACATAAGAGCTATCTTTCAGAAGCGACCTGGCCTGAAATGATAGCTCAACGAATTGGCTTATATAATGTGAAGATTTATAGCAGCCAAACACTCTACACGCATGTTGATTCTAAATGTGGAGGGGAAAACCGGAGGACCCGGAGAAAAATCCACGTGGCCATGGGGGAGAGAGAGACACCCAAACTAGAAATATACAGCAGGTGTCAGAGGCGGGATCGAACCAACGACCGTCTGTATACTAGGCGAGGTAGTTAACATCTCGCCACCGCGGCGACATACCAAGATAACTTGCATAAAGATTTATTTTTATTTGTAACCTACATATGCACCCTTGAATCTGTGCAAGCGTTATTGGTCTGTGCCTTTTATCACAAGTCAATGAAAATATTGTCCAGTCAAACCTGGTTAAACCTGGTTGGCTTAGCTTTCACATGTATATATATGTGCAGTGCTGTGGTTAGAGCCCTATATTCATAATCTGTAGGTTGTCAAAGACCAATCGTCCCTCTGGGGTCAATAAAATCAGTACTTTTTTGCAGCGTGTGTACAGTGATTTTACTCTAGATATGCTGGCCTTGCCATAGAAATGAGGAATTCCCATCGTTCAATCAAGGTTGAACAACGGAGGTGAGCGAGATGATGTCATGTCCCGTTTACACCTTTATATATCTATGATTGGAGCGTGCTGATGACAGCACTCTGGTATCACCATGGCAGGTGACGATGTGCTGTCTACAAGTCACACCATCACTCACAAGTGGCGTCTCCTCCACACGTTTAAAAGTTCCACATTGCCGGTGCGGTCAAGATATTGCGCTGCCCATTCCGTGAACTTTGTTCGTACACTGCGGTCCCTCCTTCACGCTCATGACTTGCCATTCTCCCCCCCCCCCCCCGTCTCTCTGCGCCTCCCACTCTCTCTCTCTCTCTCTGTGTCTCGTGCCCTTGCTCTCGGCTCACAGGTGTAGTCGGAGGAAGACCTGGAGACTGTCCTCACGGAGGGAGATGAGAAGGAGGAAGAGAAGGAGGAGGAGAAGCTCGGGAAACTGCAGTTCTCCATCGATTACGACTTCCAGAACAACCAGGTACCTGCGCGTGGTGCCACCAACGTGGGCGCTGTCACATCGGAACTGAGAGCAGGACCTCGTCGCTGTGTTTCTCATCGCTCGCAGGGTCCGGCATCCACCCTCTCGTTTCAAAGTTCTGGCTGTGCCCATCTCAAGCGACTCATCGCCACCCCCCCATGCAACTCCCGCTCCGCGTGGCCCGGGCGGGGGGTAGGGGGGGGCATTTAAGAAATCTGACCCCCATTATTTTCACTGCCACGATGTGAGATCACAGCGGGGACCCCCTCCGTCCGCTGTGCTAACGATGAACACCAGAGCAGCGTGCCCGTTAATCGCTGACACGCCTGTGAAACGTACGCCTCTGTCGTCCGACACGACCGGGGGTTGATGCTCCTTCATGCCTTTCAGTTTTTGATCGCATGACAATGAAGCAAAGCCATTTTCAGGTCTCCGAGATGGATCGAGCAAATGAAGTGAAAGGCCAAACTTTCATGGCGCACACCATTTCCGTGCGTTTTAATCGCGAAGGCTTTTGCTGAAGCCCAGACCAGAATCGTCTAAAAACCCAGAATCTCAGTGTCGCTGGTCCTGAATCGTGACACGTGGCGTCCTTTTCACGCGGCTTCTCTATATTTCTCCGTGGAAGCTGCTGAGCACGTTCTGTTGGTGGCTGGCTTGAGCGTATGCTTATTTACGTCTGCAAATAAAGTGGAATTTTACCCAGAGGCCCCCTTTTCCCCAAAGCTGCCGGGGGTGATGATTCCTCGCTTTTCTTCCGCAGACCTTTTAAACGAGCGCATTCGTACGCGGAGCATTGACGGAAACGTTATTCGACCATAATTTGAATGTATGTCAGAATTAATAAATATATTTTAGCTAAAACTACAAAATCTAAATCAATTCGTCGGTTGTTATGAGCCTTACCACAAAACGTAACAACAACAACAACAAAAAACCCTGCCATTTTAAGATGCTCCCGAGGATTTGTTGATTTGCCAATTTCAAGCCTCGATACGTCCGGCAATTTTTTATTTTTTAAACGAAAAATGCAGCTAATGTTATCATCGTCAAGTGTGGGGAAGAAAGGCTCATAATACATACTAATGAGGCTCCGCGCACGATGAAGACGCATTCGGCGTTCGCAATGAAACCGCGAGTGCCCTGAGCGAGCGATACATCTTCCCGGGAGGGTGGCGGAAGGTGACATGCGTTAGCACAAGACAAATGCTTCGCGCGGACAAGGACGCTTAAAAAAATGAATTTTGCATTTTGCCCATTCTTTTCCCCGATAGTCCGCAGTCCTCAGCATGCAGCGCATGCCCATGGGGTTTTCTTCATGGTCCAGTGTCGCAAAGTGCATTGCGCACTCGGTAGTATTAAACATCTCTTTTTTTTGTCCCCCTTCCGGTGGATTATGTCTTCAACCATCAGTTATATTGCGCTCGTGCTGTTATTATTGCGGTTAGGGCACAGGAGATAAAACGAATAAATGGCAGGAGTACACGAAGTGCTGGTCAGATGCATTAGGTCGAGGGAGGCCCATCAGACATATACACACACTGCCCAAGCCACACCAGGCTCTGTTAGGGAAAGGGGGTTCTGCATTTGTATTATATGCGATTTTAGCCACGTGCGTTAGTTACAGAGGAACACTGGGCACATGGGGCCCACTACGTTACGTTAGTTATGGGGGCTGCCAAGGTTCATTAGGTCCAGAGGCCACTGTGGTGCGTGAGGTGTGTGGGTTGCATTAGTTATGTAGCGGGAGGGGGTCATCTAAATGTGAAAGGGTAAAGTGATAACCAAGATGTGTTGAGCATTCACCCTGCTCGCTCTCCACCCCTATCCCCCCCCCCCCCGCCTCTGTGAAGCAATGAAATGTCACGATTTAGGACCACGATTTGAATCAGAATTCTAATTCAATGTTTTCTTGTTGCTTTTGTTTTTACCGTCTCGTTTATATTGTGATCGGTGGTTCTTTTCACCCCTCCTTTCTCATCGTGTAAGGCTTTTGTCCGCTGCGCTAGATTGTGCGTAACGTTTCCAGCAAAAAACAATCTGCAACGATTTGCATGGCTTATGAACCGTGGGTTACTTGCGCCCTTGATTCAACGCGTGTATCGTGAGGCTTACGAACCCCTGGTTGTCGATGCATTGGTGCAATGTAACAACCTCACCGGACACCGAGGTGCATTGGTCTCAACGGCGTCTAGCAAGGGGTGTTAACGATGGGGGGAGGCGGGGGGCTATGTTAGTCAGTACAGCTCATCGGATTTCTCTATTCTAAATTTTTAAATATCTAATTTTGTGGTGTTAACCAGTGCATTAAACACAGGGTCTACTTAGGTGCGTTTTAAGTACAGGGAATATTGTGTTTTATTTTTGTTATTTTTTCATTAACTTAAATTTGATATTTTTTTATCTGAGGACGATTGCTTGTGTTGCGATTGAAACGTTGTGATTTTTTTATTTTTTTATTGATTTTTTCTATCTACGTGACTTTACCGAAAGACCCAAAGAGTTGACATTGTATTGTACCAGGTAAGGCCCAGCTGAGCTCTGTAGCTCTTTCTCAGAAGCGACCTGGCCACACATGATAGCCCAGCGAAGTGGCTTTTCAAGTGTAAATGTAAAGCGGCAACCAAACTCTCTGAACGGCATGTTGATTGTAAACGTAGAGGGAAAACCTGGAGGACCCGGAGAAAAATCCACACGACCACAGGGAGAAGAAGCAAAGTTTAAATATACAGGTGTCAGGGTCGGGATCGAACCGACGACCTCCTGCATACCAGGCGAAGTAATTATAATTCTAGATTTGAAGTTTCTTATCTACTTCCACCATCTGCATCACAAAGCTTCAGCGTCTATTTAATTCCTCGTCACAGCCATCTCTGAGACATACCCAAACGGTTGTGCTTTCGCTACGTTGTCCCCACCTGAAGAAGGACGCTTGTGTTGCGCCCGAAACGTCGTGATTTAATTTAGTTGTATTCTTTTATTTAAAATTTTTACCTACGTGACTTTACCGAATAAAAAACCCAAAGAGTATGAAGTAATTATACATTTCCACATCACGAGGATGAGCCACTTTGATGAGCTATCATTTGTGGCAAGGTCACTTCCGAAACAGAGCTGTACAGCTTAGTGAACCTCACCTGGTAAAATAAAAAATATAAATTGTTTAAATTGTGTTTTACATTCCTTCAGCACGTTCGGCAAATAGTCTGCGAATGTGCATCAGACCGCATTGGCTGGAAATCCTTAGCACCGGAGCTGTTTGTTTTTTTACATACAAAAGGTAGTATCGGTTCATTACTGCGCCGACAATAGGCAGGTTATGAGCTGTCATCGCACACGGGCTCGTTATCCTGCCGCCAGCTCGGAGATGATTGTATCAGATGACATGCACCTATATGAGTGCACAAACAATATTTCCCCTGAATCGTTACTCTAATATCCACTCTCTCTTGCTGTCGCTGGCCAATGAGGGATTGTCATTACGCCTTCATGCACATGATGCCGTTGCAGGAAAAAAAATATTTGCCTGTGTATATATACACACACACACATTCCGGGCATTGAATGGTGTTCAAGTCTCCTACTTATGGGGAACAGTTATTGGGATCACTATAAAAAAAAACAGTCACATAAGCGCCAATCATCCGCCGACTACATTATTAATGCCTATAGCGACAACAACAGCAACAACAACAACAACATTAACGTGCTGAGGCTGCCGCGTCGGCAGTGGTGCACAAGGACGAATCACAGACAACCCCAACACGTGCAGCACACACAGAGGGGCGCCTCCGTCCCTCTGGCCTCTCTTATGTGCTCCAAATAAGGGCCATCGCCTGAAACGTCGTGTATTATATTTTTTGGGAGAAAATATTATCAGTAAAAAATTTAAGATTTTTTTTTTTGCCGGTAACAGCAGGTCATGCTGGGATTATCACGGTTGGCTACGTAAGGGGCGAAAGAAGTTCAACATACGTACATGCTATTTATACCTACGGTGGTCTTTTCGTTTTTTTTAAAGAAAATTTTATTCTTAGGTTTTTTCGGTAAAGTCACGTAGGTAAAAAAATTAAATTTAAATTAATAAAAGTAAAATAAAAATCACGACGTTTCGGAGGCAACACAAGCTTCCGTCTTCAGGTGGAACCGTCACAGCCCGACAGCTGTATCAAGTAAATGAGAGATTACAAGAGATACCACTCCGTATATATAATGGTTTCTTTTATTAATTTTTTTTTACCTACGTGACTTTACCGAAAAAATCTAAGAATATGAATCATTGCAGTCACGAAAGCTTCAAATCTAGAAGCACATATATCCATTGATGGCCGTGAACCCAGTGGTGAAAATTCCCCATTTCTATGGCAGGGGCCAGTCTTGTAATCATCATTTGTGGTTTATTCTGCCCATTCCATGCATCACTACTCCAGGCACCATCGACCAATCACTCGTGTTTTCCCACAAAGTGGTACTCATTCTGTTGAGCCTTAGGTTGACCTTCGACCAGGATTTGATGAACTTGTGACCTTGCAATTGTCAGGTCACCGGGCCTGATGATTAACTAAAGAGCATTCATTGATGTCACGGTGCTCGACAGTGTTAATTTCATATTTCACTCAACCTTCGACAGCCCCATCACCTCCTCAGAGATGGCAAAACGAGCACCACTTTGTAGGAAGCGAACAGTGACATCCTACGGACGAACTGTCCCCTGCCATGAGAACGTGGAATTTCCCCCGCATTGGCTCGGGGCCACCGATGGCAATGAGCGCCGTCTCATTCAGCTGCTTCCCGTTCGCTTCACATCACCGCCCGCACAGCTATCTGGAGAATCCAGGTGGGGGGATCGCTTGAGCCTCACGGTTTATATTTTTTATTCTCTCCGTTCTGTTGACCGTATAGTAAATATGACAGGTTTTATCGAGTGAATCGGCCGGTGGCCGAGTGCTCAATCTCTCCATTTAAGTGACCTCAGAGGTCACGAGATCGGCTTCTGTGCCGCCGTGTTCTGCCCAAACACACACACACACATCGACATGCCTTCATTGCTGCCGGCGCGGTGGATCGAACTCCATTGCAACACCTGGTCTTAAAAAAAAATCATGCTTATTATAGAGCTCGCGTTGAGGGATCTCTCCTACCGCCTCCTCCTCTGCGGTCTCTCATCCTTCTTTCTTACGCTCGTCTTTCTTTTCGCAATTCTTCTGTCAGAGTGATGCGCTCGCTCTCTCTCTCTGTGTCTAAATCTTTCTCTAACTCCCTTACGCTCTCGCCATTCGATCCGCGATTCCTCTGGAGTTGACCAAGTGTGTGCCACTTTGTGGGAAGTCTCCGGTGGTGGGCCTGTGGAGAAACTGCCCTTCCGCCACTGGTCAGGGTTTGGCAACCAAAATAATAAATTGAAGATAAATTTTTGTTAGAATTCGATAACAAAAAAACTCAATGTTTCAAGAGCCACCATTGCATGTGAATATGAGATGGTGATCTTTATTGAATAACTTTTCAAAGCAGTCCTTAAAGACTATAATACTTTTTATTTTACCAGGTAAGGCCCACTGAGCTATGTAGCTCTTTTTCAGAAGCAACCTGGCCACAAATTATAGCTTAACAGTGGCTTATCATGTGGCAATTCATAGCAGCCAAATACTCAAAACGCATTTTCTAAATATCCACATGCGGGTTCTTAACCGGAGCCCCAGGTTTTCCGACCCGTAACCATGGTAATGTGGAGTTTCCACCACTGGTTCAGGCCCATCATAGAAAATGAACATCACCGACCTTTGACTTAAAACTTTTGTGACTGCAGAAATCCACATTGTTCGTTTTTGTTTCGGTAAAGTCACGTAGATAGAAAAGAAAACGTATAAATAAATAACATTCAAATAAAATATAAAATAACACAAACGGTCGTCATCAGGAAAAAAAGTTGACGACCGCTTGTGTTGCGATCGAAACGTCGTGGTTCTTTTTTTTTATCTTTTATCATTATTAAATTACTTTTTCTATCTACGTGAATTTACCGAAAAAAAACAAATAATATCACCGACCTTTTAGCAAGGGTTTGCCTGGTGAGGGTTAGCCTCTGCTTGCACAGGTAATGATAGTCATTTACATTTGTAAGGTGATCTATAAGGTGAAATTCACCCAGGGATCTCAGTGCACCGTTGGGAAATATAAATACTACAAGGTAGCGGAGAGTCCACTGGTCAGAGGAAAGCTGCCATGGTGTCACGGTTGGTAAACTGGAATTGCGATTGAAAGGTGACCGATTCCACCTCTGTTCATGACATCTCCTGTCTCACCCTCCCTCTCTGCCTCCCTCTTCCCGTGCCAGCTCACGGTCGGGGTGATCCAAGCAGCCGAGCTGCCGGCTCTGGACATGGGGGGCACCTCGGACCCCTACGTGAAACTCTTCCTCATGCCCGACAAGAAGAAGAAGTACGAGACCAAGGTTCACCGCAAGACGCTCAACCCCGTGTTCAACGAGAGCTTCGTCTTCAAGGTGACTCCGTCCGCCCGCCCGCCCGCGGCGCCGCGTGGCTTTAAACTCTCCGCTGCGGTGGCTTCTCGCAGGCCGTGCCCCTTAACATCAGCTGGAGGTTGACCACGCCGAGCGGCAGGGGAGCCAGTTTGATGAGGATGTAGCCGCACGGAAGTGCTGTGCCGTAGACATCGAGCGTCCCGGGCGGTGCAGCCGCACCTGGGGGGGGGGGGGGGGGCTGATGCCGAGAGGGCCCCAGCTGCTGGGCTGAGAGAGAGAGGAGAGAGAAATTGGACATGGGCTCCCCGCGTCAACGCCTTCCACCGTGGGCAACGCCGCGACCTCCAATTAGAGCGGTTGGCTACGTTCGGTGCGCAAGAAGTTAAACATGCATACAATGTGAAGAATTGTCATTTACTCAAACGAAGTGAACACCTCAAAGCAGTGTGATAATATCGAAAATGTCACTTATTTAAGTGGATTGATATAATGGTTATCGCGATCAGTCTAAAGATTTCTGCCAGTACATTACGTAATAATAATATGGACAAACCAGAAGGCATATACTGGTTTCAAGGTTATTGGCGATGATCAGCATGTCATGAACATGAACTATTTCCAGTGAATGCACTCCAGTGTATCCTGCTTCGTAGTTAACGTGAGCACGTTGCACTACGTACGGTGCGAGAGAAATTCAACAAACACACGTGCATACATGCATAGGCACGTACGTGCCAACCACGGCACCGCCATAAGCGCACGGCGTTCCATTCAAGGAGGTTAAAATGAAGTCGGTGCATTTGCTCCATTCAAATGAGCGTGGGGAAATGCCCGTGTGCATTTGCAGCCCCGACCGAGCCAGGGCCTGTCACTCTTAAAGGGCAACCACAGTTAACTCCCCATGAAAAGTGGGATTCGTTTTATCGCCCCGGGCTCCATTCCCCCCCCCCGCCCGCCCCCCCAAGTCTACCCCTCTCTCTGCACCTACCCCCTTCCACCCCTGTCCACCCTCCCCTCTTACCCCACCCTGGAAATGGAGCCTGGAACCTCTCAAAACAACCTGCAAGCGCTTTACCGCCCGGTGGAATTAAAATGTCACATGCAACACAAACGCGCGACGTATTGTTCGTCCTTTGACGCCGTACGGACTACTTTTCTCGCGGTTCAAATCCTGTTGAGGGCCCAGCTCGGCTCATCATGCCTCCAGAGTGCGAATTTTGAGTTTATCGAGAAGAAGGCAGGGGACCAGAATGAGTCTCGGGGAGCAAGAGTGGCCTCGTCCACCAAAAATACCAAAAAGCAACGAGGAAACAAAACCGAGTACAGCAATGAAGCGAAGAAATCGGAACACACAGAGTCAAAACAACAAAAACACCGCAGCGTCACACGAGGAGTCTAAAATATTGACGGACAAAGCAAGCGACGTTTTGTTGGGGAGTCGGTAGAGTGAGAAGTGGCTCGGCCCATATTCCGTTGGGTAAAATGTGCTGTCGTACTTCAAGAAGCTAAAATGTCAAATCCAGCGTGCGACTCAACCGGCAGTCGGGAATCTGTGAGTCGTACGATTACGGACGTCATAGCAGGGGAGAGACGCTCAGACTTTGACTTTGCTAATGGACACACGTTGTTATCGTTATTGTTGTTGTTGTCATTTTTATTGGCTGGGTGCGTGGCTGGATGCGCCATCCACAGAGCGATCAAACTGCGGTGGAGTCTCACATCTGAAATGAGAGAATCCATTGTGGAAACTCTAAACCAGGCGACGTGGCGTCTCTCCAAGCAAACCGCCCGCACGCGCGGATCGGTCGCGGCCTTCGCGTCACCAAACGTCGTAAATCGGACGCCGAGGTTGGGGGGAAGGGGGTAGGAAGGAGACGTGGTGGAGAGGGGGGGGGCCCTGCGGTTGTTGCGCGCGAGCGGGATGACGCCCTCGCAAAAAAACGAGCGTGGCGGCAATCCGCCGTGGCTGCGTTCCGCTCGTCCCCGTTTGGTTCATCATTGTGGCGGCGTCGCGTTAACGGTGCCGCCGGTGAACAGTGGGCGCCCCCCCCACCCCCCCCCCCTTGAGTCTGAGTCGTCTGCATAGTTGTGCTTCACTGCGCAGGGCACTTTGCCCCCCCCCCCCCCCCTCTGAGTCTCTTTGGAGAAAAAGAAAACGGACAGAATGAATGACCGCAGAGATAATCCTAAGTGTACTTAATTTGTTGTGTCATGTTCTGTCAATATGTACTGGATCAGATATGAGTAATAGCCCCGAGAACGTAATAAGTTACATTTTTTTGTTACATACATCTGTATGGGTTTCTTTCAGGCAATTCCCCAAGTGTTATTGTTTCTGTGCGCGATAATATTGCACTGCCGCGTCTCTACGGCTACAAACAAACGTCCGTCGGCTGATTTACGCAACAAGTTAGTGTTCATGGACACCCATTATTTACGGAAGACTACATTTTAACCCTTTTCGTGTGCAGATCGTTTGTTGGCTCGCTATCGTTGAGGTGGGGAAGTCAGGCGTGATTGTCTAAAGGGGGGGGGCTGTCTTCTCCAATTCGATTGAAATTTGAGTAGTTAATTCTCTTTCAAACATTGTAACTCGCGGCCTAGTTCTAAGATCAACCAACCAACGCTACAGCCCCTCAGAGATTTCCATTGCCAAACACCCATTTACTCTGCAGACACCTTGATCTGCACGTATTTGTTGTGCACGCATAGTAACGGCGTCTTAATTACACCCTAGTACTGATACTCGGGGGTTTACCGCGAATTGTGTTGAATAATTTATCCGTCGTGTGTTCAGTGTGCCCCTGTGTGCGCGTGATAGCGCACTACTTAGCGCACTGCACCACGAACCTGTCAGCCCAAGTTCAATGCCTGGCCATGGCTAACATCCATACTAGTCTTGGACCCACTCCAGCCCAGCGTCACGAGAGCACCTGGTGCGGCGTGTAAACATCAACATCACCAACAACAGCAACCGCAATTCGCCACTAAGGTGGTCGGCGACGTCACCGCGACGCTTGTGCCAGGCTAGGTGCACTTTAAGGCCACGTGAAGTGTCGAACGCCCGCTGGCAGGAGGTCAACGGAGCAGACCCGGGTGTCATGTAGACATCGGCGCGGGGGAGACAACACGTTTTGTGTGTGCACGTGAACTACAAATCATGACCGAGAATCGAACACAGGTCAGCGGGTTCAACTCCTGGCTTTGCACATCCCTGGCAGGGATCATCTACTGAATCATGTCTTTCCGCCTCCCTGAGGTTGACTCAACATGTCAACAACAACAAACACAACGCTGCTGCCCACACAACCACAAATTGCGCTGCGATGACCCCGAGCATGCACATTACGCGTGCCGAACTTCTTTCGCACCGTACGTAGCCAACCACGCTCATCGTTGGCTCGGGGCAAGAACAACAAACGAAAGACTAAAATCATCTCCCGGCGCACGCGGGCGCGCTTGCTACCCCCGCAGTGTGCGAGGCTCACCGAGGGGCCCTCTTATCGCCGTGGTGCAGGTGCCGTACTCGGAGCTGGGCGGCAAGACCCTGGTGATGGCCGTCTACGACTTCGACCGATTCTCCAAGCATGACATCATCGGCGAGGTGAAGGTGCCCATGAACACCATCGACCTGGGCCACGTCATCGAGGAGTGGCGCGACCTCGTCAGCGCCGAGAAAGAAGAGGTGAGTGGCGCTCGCCGTCTCTACACGACGCGCACAACAGCAGCAGCAGCAGCAGACGCCGTTCGCCACTAAGTGGCGGTTGACGTCACCACGGCGCTCATGCCAGGCACACAAAGACGCACGCACGCACGCACGTCATTTAATACCTGCGTTGTAATGGAAAGCGTGCATTTGGATCGTGATAGGCATTCATTAACTGCATTCATCTGATGACAGAAGCGTGTGTTGCTTCCGAAACGTCGTGATTTTATTTAGTTATTTACATTTTCTTATTTATTTTTAGTCTCATTTTTTATTTCCACCTACGTGACTTTACCGAAATAACCAAAGAGTATGCATTCATATTTCCCGGATCGCTCGTTAAACTGGAGCAGGCACGTGGCCAGTAGTTGCCACAGCTATAGTGAGAGCTATACTGAATGTGGCGTGCCGGATGGAGTAATGATCAGTGACCCGGACAGATCCGGTGAGAAATTAAGCCCTCCCCCCCAACCCCCCACCAGAGAGTATTACGCACAACCGCGTAACAATTTTGAGAAGAAGTGTTTGTTCCGTTACGTAAGCAGTCACTTTGGAAATAAAAAAAATAACCGTGTCATCATCCACTTATTTGCTTCTGTATCGCCCGGTGCTTTTGTCAAAAAAAAACGTTCCAATGTCTCCAGCACCGACAGTGTTGAGTTTTTTTTTTGAAAGCACGGACAACGTGCTCCTGTATCATCTCTCGTGTTTTCCACATTTTTGATCGATCCTTATCTGCCTCTCTAATTTTTGTCCTAGGTACACACATACTCTGATGTATTTTCCTAGTCGTGGTCCTCTCAGCAATGATTGTACTTCGATCTGTACACTTCGCTCTCTGTGTGCACAGCTTTTGTTTTATTTATGTTGGAATACAACTTTCTCAGCCTTCTTTGCAAAGTTCTTCAGGCATTTCCTGTCATTCATTTTCATTGTCTGTCGTGATGAATAAGTCATCGGCAAATCCGAGATGGCTGATATGCCTTCATTTGGTTTGGTTATGCCTCTATTTGAATCCATATATTTTAGGAAATATATTTTAATATTGCTGTAAATATCTTTTCTCAGAGCATATCTCTGCATCCGCATCCTCTTCTGAATTACATTTTGCCCCCTTTCTTCCCAGTAAACGTTGAACGTTGGGCCAACGTAGGCCCAACAGTTCCAACCACGTGCCAGCATTGGCCCAATGTTGCATGTTCACTTTGTTTATGCAATCCTAGTGTAGCAGCTCATTATTTGCTAATTGTTTCGATGAGTCATATTTTTGGTTATTTGATTAACACAATGTATGTGAGCGGTAGGGTGTCTGCTTCAGGTTCCCTTGAATCAAATTCCTTTTGATAGTCAATAAAATATAGGCACATAACGGTGTTTGAAATTATTTTGTCTTCAGTGGAACCTCGATTTAGACCTTTTTTGGGTGGAGGGGTTGGTATGTTGCGTGTGTGTTTCAAGTAAAAAAAAACAGCAGAAACGTCAGTTTCCACTTCACTCCCCATCCTCGATGCCAGCATCAACGGTTTGCCAGCTGCGATGAGTAAATCGTCAACTAAATACATGGTGATTTTATTCCACCATCCTTTTATGTGCGTGGCCAATTCAGGATCATCTTCAAAGCTAATTCACTTTTTATTTATGTCTACGTTTGGATATTTATTTAACAACCCGGATAAACAAACGCCGAGCTAAAAATAATACAAAAGGTTCCGACTTCAGTCAGACTTTAAACATCCTCTTTTTTGCAAGTGGGCAAATATTATTTTAATTTAATTTTAATTGGGTTTTATCTCCTTCAGGGTTGATAATGTGCGTTGCACGGGTGTACGCTAATGTGCATGTTCAACGGTAAACGTTGGTGCAGCTGAAGCCGTGTAACAAAGCCTCCACATTTGTAGCCCATTTCAGCGGAGGATGGAAGGAACCGTTCTTCCTCACTTCTGTTCTGAGAACGGGGAAATGTTCAACGCAGAATAATAGCCGAGCCGAGTGTCCCTCCCATCTTCCCCAGACTTTGTTCAATTGCTACGTCGCTCTTGGAATGGAGTCACATTGGGCACAATTACATCGGCTTAGCGATGCGCGCGCGTGTATTATATCCTTGTGGTTCACGCTCTGCATTATGGTCACAGTGACCTGCGTTTAATTCGAGGTCCATTCATTCTATCGACGGCACGTGGTATCCAAAGCTGTCCTGGTCCCCTCGATGTTGACACAGCCCGAAATGGGTACTTGGTGTGCTGCATCAGCATCGGAGCACTGGGGAAGCAAAGGCAGCTATCCGTGGTGCTGAACACATCAGCACTTTCATCTACTGCGCTCGCCTTCATAGGTGCTCACTCACAGCACTCGGCCCCCAACAAACTATATAGCTACAAGTGGGATATTTGGCGATTTTATATTGGTTCGTGCACTGCATTATGGTCACAGAGAGCAATGTTCGATTCCTGGCCATGCACGCCATCGGTCGTACACGACAACCCGAACCCGATGTGGGCCTCCCCTAGGTCGACCCAGCCTTAAATGAGTACATGGTATGGTGTCGACCCAGCCATGCGTAGCTTTTATCACCCCCCATCCGTTGGGCTCTTGGCCAGCCTTCAGTGAGCTGCTCGCTATCACCGCTCGCCTTGACAGTCCATAAAAGATCGCCCTTGTGCAGTCTTTGTCTCTGTATCTTTACTCCGAATTGCATTTCCACGCACTAAGATACTCAAAGAGGAAATTGGCCAAGCATCTCTAGCATCTCCTGAAAAAAAAGTGTCGTGGCACTGAATCGAGGTTTTCCTGAGTAAGTAAACGTCGCTCCGGCATTTATCGGGTGTGCAGAGTGGCGCAGCGTTAGCACCAATTCCTCCCAGCAAGAAGCGCCTGGGCTTTATTCCTCACCCGGGCACCAATTCTGCGTGGAGTTTGTATTTTCTACCCCCGTGTCCTGCGTGGGTTTCCTCTGGATTCACTGATTTTCTCCCATGGATGATAGATTTGAAAATTTTATACAAAATACAACGTAGCTCGTACTGGCCAAAATATCGCAATGCTGAAAGGAAAGATCTGCATACGACTCAGCCGGTATCCCACGGAGCCTCATCGCCCTCCTACTCCAAACAACTTTGCAGGACCCTTCTGAAAAAAAGAGTCGTGAGACTTTGTGAGGCTCTCCTTCATTAAATAAGTGTCGCAGTAACAAAACTATCTGCCGTAACTAATTGTTATTTTTTAATTGTATTTTTCCAATGTTCATCGAGTGCACTTGTACGCACGCGTGTTTGCATTCTTTGTCGGTTGGGCGAGTAAAACATCTACACAGGTGGTCAACGAATTGCACTACGAGCCCAGTGAATCAGATGCACTGATAGCATCACCTGAAAGTGGTTTCAGAGCTTGTTGTGAGCCTCCCACCTGGTGCATTGTGCGAGCGTCAGCGCTCGTCACGGAGGCAGCCACCCATGGTCCTGGCCCTCGTAACGACGTGCCTGGCTAAATAGCAGCCGTGGGTATCAAGAGTCTTGCTGGGATTAAAGGGGCGCCGTCGTATTTGTGCGCGCGTTCGAATTTGCATCTCTGCGTTTGTGTGCGCGTGCGCATGCGACGTGGGGAGCGGCAACGAACCTGGTGACCCGAGTTCGATTCACGCTCGCGGCCAATAACAGCAGCGAACACCGGAGCCTTCCCCTGGATCGAATCAGCCTCAAATGAGTACCTGGTGCGATGTGTAAACATCACCCACCAGGGAGACTGGGGCGGCCAGGCGTGGTGCTAGCCACGCACCCACTTCGTGTGACGTGCCGGCCTTCATAGGTGCTCGCTAGCAGCACTTGTCCCAACCGTCTGTTAGAGGCTATACGGGGGATCTTTGTGTGCGTGCGAATGTCGGGAGTGAATTTGCACTGCGGGGACACACGTGCACATTAGAACCTCTCAGGCAAACTGCTTGACACTGATGAAGAAGCCCACACTCTGCTATTTCACACTGTCAAAGTGATGGTCGATTAATAGCAGTGGTGTTTGTTGTGTTTTTTTTAAGAGAGAGCAGCCCAAATTTTATTCATGTGACAGCCGTGTGCAAGAAGGAGCTGTCGAAAACGAGACTCGAATTTTAACTGTCAAACGGCCCCGCTACCTGAATGATAAATAGGAACTGTCCTTTGTCGTAACTAACAAGCAAATCGCGTGGCTCCCTTCGCAAGGGAGCGTCCCAACGCCTGGCTCGTTGAATGCTGCCCTCTTGAAGGAGGCTTGATGGGTCGCTGCAAAGATTATTGCGTGCGAGACTCCCGACTGTCAGGACTGTGGCAAGGCCAGTCGCTATCAGAATGACCGGTAGGGTTTGACTACCTCGTTTAGAAGGATATCCTCTCGTGTCTGCGGATTCCCACACCTGAACATTCTCGAAAGGGAAATAACCGAAACGTTGCAAGCGTAATCATCATGAAAAAGTACAATTTTGCCCTCCCTGCCACCCCCAAAGCTCTGTGGTCCTCTATATATTAAGGTGCTATCGGCTAATTAATGAGAGTTTACATTCTAGATTTGAAGCTTTCGTGACTGCAAGGATTCATACTCTTAGTTCTTTCGGTAAAGTCACTGTGTAGGTAAAAAATGAAATTAAAATTAATGAAAGAGTTTACATCTGGACGGAAACCGGATGCTCTGGAGAAAACCAATGCGTGCAAAGTGACAGCACACCATCATCATACAGATGTAACAGGTGGACTCCACATATTTGCTATAACCGCCTTCTCGTGGCAAAGTCATGCTTTTCGCACCTCAAAGCCCACGGGAAGGGAGATTCGAAACATCCCTGCGTGATCCACCAACAGTCGCCTCCGCAAGCGCTGGGTTAGAGGCGCTCGCAGCCACCGCCAACCGGCTAAATATACAACGGTTATTGTTATGAAATGTGTCTGGCGAATGTTCCTTCTTGCATCCCTGCTACCTTATAATTGGGAACAGACGCGAGGGGTGATGTGACGACG